CATCCCCAAGGGGAAATTCACAGTGTCTGAAGGACCCCCATTTCCCTTTAAAGCACCAAGCTAAATGTGTTCAGATTAATAGCATGTGCAAATGAATGACAATTCAAGCATGTAGTCAGTAATCATGACACTGAGGCTTGTCTTTATTAGATTTTTTTAATCAACTCACATTATGATGACAGACAACTGAAATGAAAGAGGGTACACTGACTGAGAAATTCTTCAAGATTGGGATCAGCTCTAAGTAGACCTACAGTATGTCTAATTTAAACCACAAAAACTGAGAAGAGGAATTCCATTTCTGAATCAAACTCAGACAAAAGTGGAACGCTAACAACGACTAGAACCACAGGGTTGAATCATTTTGAGGCCATCAGCTGGCCCTGCAGGCGTGGGCTCTCCAGATGGCATTTCAGTGTTCTTGTGTTGCAAAAAAGAAAAGAAAAACTCTGTTGCGACCAAAACCTGGAATCATGACACATAATTCAAAGTGCTATTTTGTTCCCAAGCCTGAGATTCTTTTACAATACAAATTTAGGAAACAGCTGTGGTCCATGTTTTGGCTTTTACATCTGAAACTATTCCTTTATCATTGGCACTTTCACATCTGTGTAAGAAAAACAAAACAATGCCTCTGTCATTTCCAATAAATAAATCTGAGCAATAAACACTGTCTAAACTCTATGTACAACGTGGACACTCAGTCCTTTCTTTGAATAGAACAAAACGTGTACATTACATTATAAAAATATGAATTAAAGGGGAAGGAATGATTAAACCTCTCCTTAACAGAGGAGAACATCAGATTTGTAGAAGAAACTATTGCACTTTCATCCCATTCTACAGAGACACTAACAGGCTTTACAATCAGCAGAGGCTACCCCTGAAACACACACAGTACAGCTGTTTCCTGTCAGGTTGGTGTGCTTATTCTGCATGTCGCAGCTGTCACGTCAAAGCCTCGAACATACGAAATAAAAATGTAGGGGTCTAATGTCAGAGGTTCCCCAGATGCGGTCAAATTTGGTGTGTTGTCACAAGCAAAGTTACTCTTTGTGACTACAGATAAACACAGTAAATGGCCTGACTGTCTCCCGATACCTGCAATTGATCAGAAATGTCATAATTAGGCTAACTTTTTCCTACCTTCAGGTGATCTTTGCATTTTTCTAATTGACTTTGGCTTTACACTTCCACCTCAGGTAGAGGGGCCAAGCTTTGAGACGACTGTCAGATTAGAATTTTCTTTTGACTACATAGATCATATCCCCCAATTGCACATGCACTTAAAGAATGCACTAGGTAATTTTTATAAAAATAACTTTTTATTTTATATTTGCTGGAACTTTCACTATATCCTGACAGTCCTGTTTTCATTCAGACCCATTGGATTCTTGCAAATGCCATTAGGAGGAGCCAGAGGAACCTGTTTTTTTTTCACAGATTATCTGTCTTATGTACTAATACATAATATGTCAGGATATAATGAAAGTTTCAGCAAATATAAGTAATATATTTATATAAAGTTACAGACTGCAGCTTTAAACACATTGGCATATGCAGAAGTCTATGTCCATTCTGGCAAATGCAGCCCTTTACATGACTAAGCAAGTAGAGAATAAAAGATAGCCAACTTCAGGCCAGAATTCATTAGAAAATGGCAGGACCCAATTTCCACCTGGTATTAAAGAGGCCATATTATGCTTTTTTTTCTTTCCCTGTGCTTTAGTGCGTTATATAGATTTTTTGTGCATGTAAAATGTCTGAAAAGTGACTAAACCCAAAGTCCACACCAAAGAGAAAAAACACTTATTTTAAACACTGAAGCATGTAAAACTATTATAGTAGAACCCTCAAATACAAACCTGAAAATTAGCATTATATGCCTCCTTAACATGAGATCTGTATCTAGATACTTTATCTTGATCAGGGAAGTTAAGGCAGGTGTAAATGCACACATTGTGATCAGATCTAGGTGTAAATAACAGCTGTATAGTTAAGAACGCTACAGGAAGTATAATTCTCCACTGCAAGAAGCTATTTAAATGTAAGACACTTGTGGAGTTTTGAAGAAAGGTGGAAACCATTGTTTTTGCCAGTGTTAAGCAAAGACAAAAGTTACTACAGAAAGTTGGCTGGCTCACTTAATTAAATTGTGTGTTGAGATCCAACCACAGTGTGGGCACAGCTGACTTAATGAGAACATTTATTAATTCCAGCTGTGAGAGCAAAGGCAATCAATCAGATATCATAATACAGATACAGACAGGTTAACACCAGGTGGAAATGGGGTTGTTCCAAATCTTGTGAAAACAACATAGAAAGGCTGCAATAAGTTCAACGTCAATATATCTGAATAGTAGCTTTGTTGCTCTCGTCAGTTAACATCATGGACTGTAATGTACTGCTTTCTCAATTTTGTTCAGATTGTTTCGTTTTTCATTACCTCCATGCAGTTAAAGGAAAATGACAGTTTATTACAACGTGCGTTCTTTTTGGCTTTTCTAACATCTTACTCGCCTAAAATAGGTCAAGAAACACAACAGTCAGACATTCTAACAGGTTGGATACAGACTAGGACTGGGTGAGTACTTTAGTATCCAGTACAGCTAATGTGCCTTTTATGAGTATGTATCATCAGAGTGAAATATCTGTACTCATAAATATATAAACTTTTATTTAAAACACTTGTGTATAAATAAATTCAGTGCTGATGAGTATGCATGTTAGTAGCATATTGGCTCTTTATCAGTCAGCATAAAGCACTTATTAATGCATGAGCATATTCTACAACTATTAGGTCATTGAGTTTTCCTAGTTTTCCCTCAAAAATCTCCTAATTAGTGCTTATTGATAGTAAGTAAGGAAGTGCTACATGAATTATAATAATAATAATTAATATGCTTTGCTAAGTATGGACCTTATAAGATGGTAGTACCACAATATTCTACCAGAATACTCACATCTGGTTTAAGCCCTGCCCATTCTGAGGAAAGACACAGAAATAAAGCCCAAGTTGTAATAAACTGGAATGATCCTTTCACAGCATCGTGAGAGGACTTGCAGACCTGCAGAGGGCCATGGAATCCTTCAACTAAATAAAACATTGCGATCACAGCTGTGATAGGCACTTCCATCCATCCATCCTTGTGTGCTACCCTCTGGACACCGTCACCCATCCCTCTCCTAAAACACACAGTCTGTCATCCTTCATGTTAGACGCAGTTCTGAGGCACCGAAACGTCCAGGAGCCAGCTGTGTAGTGTGCTGCACAAGCTCCGGGAGCAGAGAGGAGAGCACGGTACTTACCCAGATCAGAACCAGGGAGAAAGAATACTTCGACTGTGGAAAAATACACTATGAGCAATGCACACATTCTTATGCACACCCACGGCCACATATGAGAGGCAGCAGGTGGCAGATGGGGCTGTAGTGTCACACTCTTGGCCTCTCATTGGTCCACTTCCAAATCCTCTTCCTCATTAGAGTGAATCACATGGAATTATTTTGTAAATGATGGAGCAATATCAAGAATTTAGACCGGGTGTCCAAAAGCCACGTAGTGTTGGTGATGGCATCAAAACTGCTGTGTTTGCAAAAAGGCTAGTGTGTGTTTGTGTGTGTGTGAGAATAATGTTTTTATGTGACAGCCGTTTATGGAAAGAGATAAAGCCCATCATTGTATTTCAATTACATAGGTTTGAATTAATTATACTCATGCTGAAAAGTTTAATCCAAAACATATTTTTAAATTTTAATTGATTTAAAAAATTGAAAAGTTAAACATTTTTTTCCTAAAATGTTTTTTTGTCATTTTAAGTACATCTTTTCATGTGATTTGGATCCAGACAAGGTATTTGGATAATAAACAATCTGATCTTGCCTTTGCATTTACCCCTGATATTATATAATAAATTCTCGTTATCTCACGTTTTGTGAGTTGTTGAATTAGTGGAAACTAAATAAACTTTATGAAACACTGTCGTAATCAAATTCGTAATCATTTGTCTCTTGTAAATTTGGCAAACGACTGTTTTCCAAGATGGCGCCTGCCTGTATACGTGAGCTACTGTTGTTCTGAAACTATCTTATTAATAGACTGTCTGATAACACATAACAAAGTCTCAATCTTCTTTACAAGTAGGCCACCTTCATTATTGCTACTGTGTTAAGATGTGGTGCTATTTTGAGCCATATGTTAGTGGTATAAAATAAGCTTTCTTTCACTTTACTCTGATGGCCCCGTTGACTAGGCGTTATACGGTTAATTAGCGGGTTTGCTGCTAAAATGGTCACAGTGCGATTAGCATGGAAAACATATCCCAGAGGAGCGGACAACTCGTACACATGTGTTATTAACCCCAGGTTCATTTTGCGCCAGAATTGCCCTTGCTGCTGCCAGTCTATCCAGTCTATCCTTGCCTTTATAAGGTCTCATTGTTTTTATTTGCGTTGTTTTAATGTATCTATGGGTCTGATTTTTCTAATATTTTCAGTTAATTCAATCAAATCATTCATGTTTTGTGTTACAACATATGAACATATTCAAACTAATGCAATCCTTACTGGCACATATCTTTCCATAGACAGTGAACGTGTGTGTGTGTGTGTAAGTGTGTGTCTGCAGTAATGAGTGGTGTGTTGTCACAGGTTTGAATGAAGTGTCCAGGTATCGACTGAATGACTTGTCATTTCAAAAACTCCCTCCTCTGCCCCTCTCTGCATTCATCACATACTGGATGTGATTGCTGTGTAGCATGTGTAAGTGTGTGTGGTCCTTAGCTGTCCACCACCTGGTGTGGCAAAGTGACGGAGGAGCCGTTGATAAATGAGCCTTGTTTGTCTCTTCCCTTCAGAAAGTATGTGAGCAGTTCCCCTTTCCCCTTTACAAAGATGGGCCCCCTCCTCACAAAGCGGAAGCCATACTCCTTCAGGATGTTGTAGCAGTCCTCCACCACCTGGGGGCAACGCACACACACACGCACACACACTTTAGACTGTTTCTCAGAAGAAAACGTGGCACATTTGTTTTAAATTGTATATGCAAAAATGTATCAGGGTTCCCATATTATATATTTTTTTAAATTTTGAAATAACTTTCCAGAACATTTTCCACGAGTTGACAGTACAGGACAACACTCACGGATGGTCATATAATTTACCGGCTACAGTAGACCTAGTTTTTACAAATTTAGTAAAAGTTTAGCACTCAGTTTTTCTCTCACCCTGACACGGATTAGGTCGCACCTACATGTTCATCAAATCAAGCAGAATTTATGTGATTAGACAGAAAATGCATCTTCTTTCCTATTTGTCCTTTAAAGGAACTAGAAAGTGTTTGTTGTACGTACAATTAACATCACTGTGCATGTATTTGTCAACTACTTTATGATGATTATTTGGCTTTATGCACATAGACATGAGCATCTAGAGCATTTCTACTGGGCTTCTCTGAGAATGATGCTCGGCTCGGTAAAAAAAGGGTTCACGCCTGGTGACCTACTGTCACACCGCACAGCTTATCCTACCAACAGTCCAGTTTCAAATAAAATAACACACCTAGGTTGTAGGCAATCTGAGTGAGGTTCTGAAATGCAACTGAAATTTCCAGGACAACATGGATTATTTCCAGTATATTTTGTCATTTTCATCCAATTCCAGGTGTATTCATGACTGAAAAACTAGTCTCTAAATATGCAGGTTTTCTGGGATTTGTCTTTGCAAAAAAATTTACTAAATCATCACTAAAGAGAACACTGGGTTCCTATCCAATAAAGGCAAAGCCCCCCAAACATATTTACTCAAGTTGTCCTTGTCTTCTATCCCATTTTGTTTGAAGTTCTGGAATAATCCAGGGTGACAAATATGCAAGAATAGAAGAAAACAGGAAGAGGGCAACTGTTTGCCATTTAAATGCTAAATTGGATTTTTTATGCCACTCTCAACAATCACTGTGACAACTGTGTAAACAGAGACCGACAGTTAAGCCCAGTGCTGTACCTGGATGTTACCCATGACCCCCGTGGACTCCATGCGACTGGCCACATTCACAGTGTTGCCCCAGATGTCGTAGTGGGGTTTTCTGGCACCGATCACTCCTGCTAAGACTCCGCCCTTATTAAGACCTGGAGGACAGTGTGGACACATTTATGTTATGAGAGATTAATGACTGTTAACTTTATACTTGTAAGAACCTGGCTCATCATTTACTCACCTGAATCCTGATTCTAATCTAGCTCTAAACTTCATTCCTTATGCTAGCTAACCTTAACATTAAACTACCTGCATCTTGTTCTTTAAAGTTGTCATCAGTTTAACAGTTGAATATCACAGTGGGGGTGTGGGGAGGCAGTTACACAAGTGGCCACAGCTCTATTCTAAAATCCAGTCAGCAGTCAGACCGCAAGACAGCTTGACTGAGCTATCACTGATTTAGCATGCTTTAGCATATTTTTTGTGCATCACACATGCTGTTGGGTTTTAGATTTTTGAATATATTTTCCTACTCATCCAGATGAAGAAAATCAGCTCTTTAGAAACTCAATGTTTAAGCACAGATCGCTTTGAAGGGTCAGCCAAAGTCTGCCAGTTAGTTTTCATATTATACATTATTATTATTATACATATACAAAACCAATGGATGTCTTAAATGGTAAGACAAATAATGTCTAAAAATCATAAACTATACAGCAAACACTTGAAAAGGTTTGGCAAAAACGTTATCAGTAACCTTGGTTTGTAGTTGAAATACGAAATCTACAGTTTAATATTATCTAAAGAGGTTTTCAAAGTGAAAGCAAACAGTTTCAAGGGAGGCTCAGTGAATGGAAGTGAAACAATATTGCATTAGTTACTACATTAGATATCAAAGGGAGATCATATAAAATAGACTTGCTTAAAGGAATAGTTCAGACATACAGTAAACGTCGTTTTGGGGAAGTTTACTTTTTCCCACTCCAAAGCCACAATCCAATAAATGCCTTAGGATAGAGCTTTTTCATCTGGTACAGCGTGAACTTATGTCAAACAGCAATATTATGTTATCTTGTCTCAATTGTTAGTGTCTATGGCAGGAGTCTCAAACTCAATTTGGCTTGGGGCCACTGCTGGTACGTTCAAGTAGTACAAGAAAGCTCAATATTCTGAAAATATTATATAAAATATTATACTAAATCATGCAACAGCTTTTCCCATCGGGCAAAAAGGTGTTCTTCTATACATTTTACTAACTTATACTTAAAAGACCATTTCATTTCTAAATATTATTGCTATTACTATTATTGTTCTTATATATTTTGTTGTATAATTAATTTTACATTTAATCTAGTCATATTATTTTCTGTTTGTTATTTCTGTTTCTTAAACTGTGAAATTTGAACTTGGTGGAGGCCTACCAGGGGTTTCTGCCTCTCCCTGCACTGTATAATATTTGTTATTCTTGTCATTTGTATGTATGTTTTAATGTTTTAATAAAACAATTAATATAAATACATTCATTAAGGAATATACATCAAATCAAAACTTGCAAAAACCAGCCATAATTTAAAAGTCCAAAAATCTAAACTCTGTTCTAAACGCAGAGAGAGGGGTGCAGGAGCAGCACATACCGATGCGTAGCATGAAGTTGTTGAATGACTGGTAGTTGATGTTCATGAGTGTGACCTTCATGGCCAGAGCAAAGTCTGCCAGGTCTGCCAGGTGCTGCCAGCGCTCTCTGTCAGACTGCTCCTCCTTCTGTCAGACAACAACCAAACACCAACATCATTATGCCTCACAAAAACCAACAGCATTTTAGCACAACTCAAGAGATCATTCGAGAGCTCTGAGAAAGCCGATGTCCAAATGATCTAGATAGATCATCACTCTCTTTTTTAACTCAGCTAAGCAGAGCAGAATCATTTTCTGACTGGTTCATTACATTCATGTTAGTTCAGTCAGTCAGAGACACACAGTGGCTACGTTTACATGCACACTAATGTTCCACTATAATTCTGAATATGAATAGAAGAATATGCATTGGATAAGGGGTATGTAAACAGCCTTCTGATAAATCTAATTAGGCCTTATTGTGAATAGAGCATTTTCTGATGTGAGGGATGTGCCGATATTATTCTTTTAGGAGTACATTTTGACATATACAGTATACAGTGCATTCGGAATATACATCTCTCAAGACTCAAGAAGGCCCATCTGTCTCCTCAGATTCTGGTGAACTTCTACCGCTGCACCATCGAGAGCTTCCCTTACAACTGCATCACAGTCTGGTATGGAAACTGCTCTGCCTCGGACCGGAAAACTCTGCAGAGGGTGGTGAAAACTGCCCAGCGAATCACCGGTTCACCTCTCCCCACCATTGAAGCTGTCCACAGCAAGCGATGTCTGCAGAAGGCGCGCAGCATTGCTGAGGACACCTCCCACCCAGGACACAAACTGTTTGCCCTCCTCTCCTCTGGGAGATGCTACAGGTCTCTCCGTTCCCGAACTAGCGGGCTCAGGGACAGCTTTTTCCCATCAGCTGTCACCCTGCTAAACTCTGCATCGAGGAGACCCCCCTTCCCCCTGAACTGTGTTTTTTCACATCTACCTATAGTGTATTCATAACTACCTATAGTGTAATAATATCTAGCTGTCTGTATATAATGTCAATCTCATACTGTAAATATTAACTTAATTGCCGTATATATATATTAGTGTATTCAACTGTTAATAAAGTTCATAATGTAAATATCCTACCAGTATATTCATATATATATATGAATATATATATGTGTATATATGTATATATATGTGATTATATATATATGTATATATGTATATATGTGTATGTATATATATGTATATATGTGTACTATATATAATGTATATATGTGTATATATGTATATATGTTTATATAATGTAATATTTATATTATATTATATATATGTATATGAATAATATGTATATGAATATATATTT